AGGAGGAGGAGGAGGAGGAGGAGGAGGAGGAGGGGGGGCAGAGCGGCAGGCGCACCCGCCCACGATCGTCATTCGACCACGCGTCGCCTCCGGCCGCGCCCCCCTCACCGACGCGCGCGCGCACGCGCGAGTGCCTCGCGCTTGGCGCTCGGCCGCCTGGGCCAAGGCGCGGGGGCATGGAGAACTCCATCGTGGAGAAGCGGGGCAAGGATCGTGGGGAGGCTCCTCCCTCCCCTTTCTCCTCCCCCCCCCGCCTCCTGTTTCCCTCCATACCTCCTTCCCCATAATCCTCATCATCATCACCACCACCACACAGCTATCATCATCAACATCAGCAGCATCATCATCAGCAGCAGCATCAGCATCAGCATCAACATCAGCATCATCACCATGATCATCAGCATCATCAGCATCATCAGTAGCATCATCATCATCATCAGCATCATCATCAGCAGCAGCATCAGCATCATCATCATCAGCATCATCAGCATCAGCAGCAGCAGCATTGTCATCGGCATCATCCTCATCATCAGCAGCATCATCGGCATCGTCGTCATCAACATCATCACCATCATGAGCACTTAGCTGCCCCAATACGCAGCACACAACACGTACCGTATTGAGACGGAGCTCAACACGTAGGCTGAACACGCACGTTTTGAACACGGGCGTTTTGAACACGGCACGTCTTTCGTTTCAAAACGTGCGTATCAGAGCAGCTAAGCATGAGCATCATCACCATCAGCATGTTCATCCTCATCAACATCATCACCATCAACAGCATCAGCACCATTATTCTCATCTCCAGCATCAGCATTATCATTACCATCAGCATCATCACCACCAGCATCATCAGAATCATCATCCGCATCATCATCAGTATCATCACCATCAACTTCAACATCATCATCATCATCATCATCATCATCATCACCACCATCATCATCATCCTCATCCTCATCCTCAGCCTGCTCATCCTCTCCCCCTTATTTAATCGCTTCGTTCATTCCGCCGGCCCATACAGTCTCATGTCTGCCGTTTGCCCGAGGGCCCGGTGTCAATGCGGCGCTTTGGGGGTTCCTGGGGCCGCTTGGGGGACTCCTGGGGCGCTCGAGGGGGCATTTGGGGGGCCTCCTGGGGCCGCTTGGGGGACTCTTGGGGGCCTCCTGAGGGCCTCGTGGGGGCCTCTTGGGGCCTCTTAGGGGCCTCTTGGGGCCTCGTAGGGGCTTCTTAGGGCCGAGGGCTCGAAATGTTGTTTCGTGTTCCCTCTCTGGGGCCCCTTTGGGGGCGTTCTTGGGGCCCTCTTGGACCGTCTTGGAGGCTTCTTGGGCCGTCTTCGAGCCCTCTTGGGCCATCTTGGGGCCCTCTTGGGGGCCTCTTGGGCCCTCTTGGGGCGATCTTGGGGGCCTCTTGGGCCGTCTTGGGGCGTCGGGAAGCCGAAAAGGTGGAAGCTCCAAAATCTCTCAAAAACCTAAGGAAAAACAATGAATTTTGCCTCCGGGGGCCCTCTTGGGAGTGCTCTTGGAGGCCTCTTGGGGCGTCTGGGGGCTATCTTGGGCGTCTTGGAGCGATCTTGTGGCATGTCGGACCCCTCGTGTACCATCTTGGGGGCCTCTTGGGGGCCTCTTGGCCTTTCTTGGGGCTCTCGGGGACGTCTCGGAGCCCTGTTGGTGCGCTCATGGAGCGCTCCTGGAGCGCTCTGGGGGAGTCTCCTGGGGATCGGTCGGGGATCGCCCGGGGTACTTTTCGTCTGGGGACCCCCAGGGGCCGCCCCGCGCGCGCGAACTAGAGAATTGTTAACCAGTTACCGGAGATCTTAGCACGCCTCTGGCCCGTTGGGCCGGCGAATTATCCTCCTGTTCCTCTGCCCTCTCCACGTCCTCGTTCTCTCCCTTCTTTTACTCCCCCCTTCCACTCCTAGTCCCTCTTGCCCCGCCCGTTCTCATTGTTCCCTCTTCCACTCCTAGTCCCTCTTGCCCCTCTTTACTCCCCCCCTCTTCTCGCCCCCCCCTCTTGCCTCGCCCGTTCTCATTGTTCCTCCCGCTCCCGCGGGTGTCACCCAGAGATGCCCCGCCCCACCGGGTGGCCCGAGGTGCCCCAGGAATTCCAGGGAGTCCCCGTGGCCTCCAGACGCCCCCGAGCCAGCCTTCCGGGAGGCTCCAGAGAGGACGACGTCGGCTGCGGCGGCGGCGACGACGACGGGACGAGGAGGAGGAGGAGGAGGAGGAGGAGGGCGGAGGGGAGGAGGGAGGAGGAGGAGGAGGAGGAGGAGGAGGAGGAGGAGGAGGAGGAGGAGGAGGAGGGGGAGGAGGAGGAGGAGGAGGAGGAGGGGAGGAGGAGGAGGAGGACGACGATGACGACGACGACGGCAGGGGCGGCGGCGGCGAAGACGGCCCAGCCGAGGAGCGCGCCGTCCCCAGCAACGTGCCCATTCCGAGCCGTGTGCCGCCCGCCGGCGCCTCGGGCGCCGCCTCGTCGTCGTCGTCGTCGTCGTCCTCCTCCTCCTCCTCCTCCTCCTCCTCCTCCTTCTCCCTCCTCCCTCCTCCTCCTCCTCCTCATCACCCTCCTCCTCCTCCTCATCCTCCTCCTCATCATCATCACCCTCATCATCATCATCATCATCATCATCATCATCATCATCATCATCATCATCATCATCATCATCATCATCATCAGCATCATCATCAACATCATCATCATCATCATCATCATCATCATCATCATCATCATCATCATCATCGTCATCATCACCCTCTGCCTCCTCGTGCACCATGTCCCCGACGCCTGCGGTCTCGCTAGCACCGCGTGCACACAAGGCAGACCCATCGCCCATATCGCCAGCAACGTCAGCGGTTGAATCCCGCACTCACGTTAGGCAGCCATCTCCGCAGCCGTCTCACGTAAGTGTTCGGTTACAGGCACGGCGTCGCCAGACTCGTCCAAGAAGAGGAGGAGGAGGACGACGACGAGGTCCACAGCAAATCCAAAATACTCATCATCACGATGCCACAATACACCCTCCCGTCCCATACCCCCTTCTCATAAGCCTCCAGAGGAATTCTTTACGCTTCGCGCATCCCCACCAGCCCATGCGGCAACGATGCCCCGGCGAGTCGCAGTGATCAGGGAAGCGCGGGAGCAAGCAGTGGAACAAAGAGAGGGGGGGGGGGGCAGCCGTCAAGCAGAAGGTCGGACTCGGCCCGAGTAGGCCCAGGAGTCAGCCAGGCACTCATGCACGGATCGTTCGATAAAGCGCGGAGAATCCAGAGCTTGGCCCGTGTCCGCGCGGCTGGCGGTGTCGTTGTTTCCCAGGTCGCCCGCGGCACATGTGATTCCACGTGTCTTGTGATGTGTGTACCTCCGGGCGTCCTGTGCGCTGGTTGTCTCCAAACTCCCGGGGACGTGAGAGTTTTCGAAAGACTTCTGATGTGTGCGTGTGTGCAGGCGCCTTGTGGTGCGCGAGTCTGCAGGCGTCGGGCGGTGTATCTTCAGCCTTGTCGCGTAAGAGGTACATCCGTGCGTCATGTGGGACATGTGTGCGCGCGTCGCGTGGGATGTGTGGTTTCGCCAGCCTTTCCATGCGACCTGCCCTGATCAGGCGACATACCGTGATTAGGAAAGTGTAGGAGTACTCTCAGGAGCACAGACTGGGGAAGCCGACACCTTCGGAGAGAGGAGGAACCGAACGGTACGTGCACGGAAAAGGAGGAAGAGGAAGAGGAAGAGCATTCGTGCAATCATGCGTCATATGGCGCAGTTGTTGCCAGATGTCCAGGGGCAATTGTGTCCCCACATGTCTTGTGGCATAGTTGCATCCGCACCTCGTGTGGCATACGTGAGTCGCGACGTCCTGCGGCAATGTTGCATGTACTTTCGTATATGGCGTGGGCATTTTTTAAAAAACTCTTCGAGCACCCGCAAATAGGCGCGTGGTCATGCTAGAATTCAAGGAAGGAAGGAGGGCGGGAGGGCAAGGCACGTCTAGCGGCCGCACGATGCCCACGGCCTCCTTCACGAGTCGCTCGGGCGTGTTCCCGAGCCGCAAGCGCCGCTCTCACAGCTTCGCGCTGTGGGTCCAGCGCTGCGGCGGGGCTGGCTCCGACCGATTCGCACTGCACTGCAGCCTGGCTGGCAGGGCCCGCGGAAGCGCCGTCCGCGAGCACCTCCTCGAACGCGGCGAGGAGCTCCGTGGCATCGTCGCTGGGTCCGTGCGCCGCCGCCGCCTGCTTGCTGAAGTGCGCGGCGTTGAGCACCGCTGCGCCGCGCACAGCCTCTGCCTGCTTGCCTTCGGGCTCCGTCACGCCAGACTCGGGCACATCGATCGGGCCGAAGAGCTCCGCGGCCTCGCATAGGGCGCCCGACAGCTTGCAGGGGTGCGCCGCGTGATCGCCCTTGGCGCGCTCCAAGGCCGCAACCGCCGCTCTCACAGCCTCGCGCTGTGGTTCCAGCAGCCACGACGGGACGCGCACCAGCTCGAGCGATTCGAAGATCTGGACCAGGGCCACCAGCGCCCTCTCGAGGCGAGCGCACACCAGGGCCCGATCCTGATGCACCTCGGCCTGGCTGGCGGTGCCCACGGAAGCGCCGCCCGCTGACTCCTCCAGCACACTGTGGTGGCCCGCGCCGCCGCACACAGGCTCATCAGACCCAAAGTCGAACGACCCCGTGGCATCGAGCGCGGCCTGCCCCAGCTTGTCGAAGAGCTCTGCGGCTGCGCCGCTGATTCCGTGCGCCGCCGCCGCCGCCAGGTTGCCGAAGTGCTCGGCGTTGGGCACCGCTGCGCCGTGCACAGCCTCTGCCTGCTTGCCCTCGGGCTCCGCGTCGCCAGGCACGGGCTCAAGGGCGCCCGACAGCTTGCAGGGGTGCGCCGCGTGATCGCCCTTGGCGCGCTCCAAGGCCGCAACCGCCGCTCTCACAGCCTCGCGCTGTGGTTCCAGCAGCCACGACGGGACGCGCACCAGCTCGAGCGATTCGAAGATCTGGACCAGGGCCACCAGCGCCCTCTCGAGGCGAGCGCACACCAGGGCCCGATCCTGATGCACCTCGGCCTGGCTGGCGGTGCCCACGGAAGCGCCGCCCGCTGACTCCTCCAGCACACTGTGGTGGCCCGCGCCGCCGCACACAGGCTCACCAGACCCAAAGTCGAACGACCCCGTGGCATCGAGCGCGGCCTGCCCCAGCTTGTCGAAGAGCTCTGCGGCTGCGCCGCTGATTCCGTGCGCCGCCGCCGCCGCCAGGTTGCCGAAGTGCTCGGCGTTGGGCACCGCTGCGCCGTGCACAGCCTCTGCCTGCTTGCCCTCGGGCTCCGCGTCGCCAGGCACGGGCTCCTCGATGGGGTCGAAGAGCTCTTCGGCCTCGCGTGCGGTGCCCGACAGCTTGCTGGGGTGCGCCGCGCCGTCCTGCTCTGCCGCCACCAGCCGCTGCACGTCGAGCGACTCCGCCCGAGGCTGGGAGGCTGCCTCGGCGAACCGCCAGCCCGCCGCCAGGCCCTGGACGAAGGCCTCCGCCTCCGCCAGCGGATCGGCGGTGTGCCAATCCCCAGGCGCCCGCATAGGGCCCGCGGCACTGGCCTCCAGCACAGAACAGATGGGAAACGTTCCCAAGCCCCCAGGTACTAGGCCCTCTGGGGTGGCACCGTGCAGTTGCCCTTGGGCGTCAAGGAGGACTTGATGATCAGTGCCTCCCTGACCGCCCAGCCCTGGTAGAGGAGCGCGCTCCGCCGCCAAGGCATCGGCCTGCGCCAGGAGCCTCGGCTCCAACTCGGCCACGTGGAGCACCCGAGCAGCAGGGTGCAGGCCGCCTCCCGCCCACGGACCCTGGGTCTCGAGAATCCCCGAGGCCCCTCGGGCAGCCAGCGCCTCCTCCCTGCCGCAGTCCACTGTGTCCACTGTCTCCACGTCGTCGAACGGCCCCGACACCACAGCGGCGCGTTCCAGCCTCGGCCCGTGCTGGGCAGCGCGGAGCTCGGCAGCCTCGGCCACCAGTATCCGCGCCCCCGGCGCCGCGGCGTGCAGCGCGACGTTGCGGCGCAGCTTCTGCAACCAGGTCGGCGCACGTCCAGCCACCAAGGCCGCCAGCGCTGGCAGCAGGCAGCGGACGCGCGCGCCGACTTCGGCGTCGCCGACGAGCGTGTCAATGGCCTCCTCGGCCTCCAGCCTGCGGCGGTCGGCGTCCGCGAGCTGCCGCTGCAGCCGCGCGACCAGGCGATCCGCCGACGCACGGGCCCCAGCTGCGCCCCTCAGTGGCGCTGCCGAGCCCCCTCCCGCAGCCATCCCAAGAGGTCCCGCGCGGCCGAAGGCGGGCGGGAACACGACTTGAGCCAAAATGGCTACGGACTATGGCGTGGGCATTGGATAAGGAACCCTTGGACAAGGAATCCAGGGTCGGGAAGCTGGTGGAACTCCAATCGTGGGGCGGCCATGGACACCACTGCCGCCCGCATTGGGAAAGGAATCCTCCAGGGTATGGCGCCTCCTGGGACTATTCCTTAACAAACGCCTCCATTGTAGCACAGTTAATTCGGGCCTGTCCATCTACAGGAAGAATATTCAAAAATGGTATAAAAAAAGTCTGGAGACGTTTTTTTGACACTGTTGTTGGCTGTTGTTGAGTACTGTTTGACTGTCTTTACTTTTTCGTCCGACATCCGCCTGTAAGGGGGACGTGCCCGACCTGATAGTACAGAGGCTTGCAGACGTCCTGTGACATATCTGATGCCAAACACGCCCGGCCGGCCATCGCCCGGCCATCCCGCCGGGCCGTGGAGGAGTAGGAGGAGGAGGAGGAGGAGGAGGAGGCGGCAGGAGGAGGAGGAGGAAACGGAGAAGGAGGAGGAGGAAACGGAGGAGGAGGAGGAGGAAACCGGAGGAGGAGGAGGAGGAGGAGGAGGAGGAGGAAGAGCGTAGGCAGCGGAGGAGGAGAAGGAAGCGGAGGAGGAGGAGGAAGAAACGGAGGAGGAGGAAACGGAGTAGGAGGAGGAAACGTAGGAGGAGGAGGAAGAGGAGGAGGAGGAGGAGGAGGAGGGGCAGCTCAGTTCCCAAATTCGTCGTGGGGGAGCCCAGCCCCGACACGCCAGCTTCCTGAGGACAGACAAGCAGGTTGAGCAGCAAGTTGCCAGCTCAGTTCGGAGCACTCGGAGCCGCCCTGAGGTGATCTCGAGGGCCGGAAACTACAACATTGAAACCGATCTGGCTATGTGAGAGGACTTTGGGAGCCGCCGTGAGCGATTTGGGAGGTCATTTTGGGCTCTCTGAGGCCCTCTCGGAGCCATGTTGGGCCACCTTGGACGCTCCAACGCCTCGCGCCCGTCTTCACCCCCCCCTCCCCCTCCAGACCCAGGGGGAGGGGGAGGGGGGGGGGCACATCCGCCCCTCACGAAAGGGAAGAAGGGGGTTAGCAGGACGAGTTGTCAAACCACTCACGCCCGGAGGGCTTGCGGGATTCCCCTTCACTGTGCGAAGTACCCCTTGGAGAAATGAACGCCCCACAGTCATGCAATTCGGGCGAGAGACTCGTTTGCAAAGGAGATGCCGCCCATGCTTCTACATGAAATGACGGCGGCGAGATAGGATCATGAAGTTAAAGGGGTGCCCAGCGAGAGCACCGCGTTGAAAGAGAGCCGCTCTCAATTCGTACAGTTTTCTCCAACTCGAACGTGGCTCGAAGCAAGAGCCCCGATTAGAACAGGAGCCGCCCTCCATGTGAGACTGTTTGAAAAGAGTACACGTGAAATCCGCAAGTGATACGGAAGTCTCAGATGAATGTTCAACATACATCTGTGTTAATCCGTCCAGCTGCTGGAAACTTGGAAGGCAAATGCGCACGGTGCTACATCGGGGGCAGCAGTTTGAAAGGGACCGCTTCCATCCGTGTAAATTATTGCTGGCAAGGTTGAAAGCAAAACGGGCGGCGCTAGGGCGAGAGCCACATAGGTACACTACGTGGGCTGCACCAGTGAAATTGCGGCAAGCGTTTCAAACGAATGTTCGCAGTGCCAAGACCATAGCCACCTTTTGGAAATGAGCCGCCCTCCATCCTTGCAATTGCTGCAATGCTTAAAGGCACAGCTGCACGGCGTTCAGGCGGGATCCATATGTCGAACAAGTGCCGCCCTCCATCCGTGCCAACGTTAAGGCTGTACCATAGCTTGAAAACGACCTGCACTCCGTCCGTCTACTTTGTTGGAGATGTGAAAGACGAACGTTCGCGACGCTACAGCGAGAGGCTCATTTTGAAAGCTACACACTCCAACCGTGCAAATGCTAGAAACTTCTAAGTTGTAAGACGAACGTGCGTTCCGCTAGAGAGACAGCCACATGTTGAAAAGGAACCTACCTTCGTCCGTCCGTATAACTGTCGGGACGTTTAGGACAGGTATGCGTTGCACGAAGAAGAGCCGCAGTTCGAACAGGAAGCGCCTTCCATCCGTCCGTGTACCTGCTGGAACGTTTAAGACGAACATGCATGGGGCTGAGGCGAGATCCACAGTTAAAAAAACGATGTGTACGGCACCCGTCAACCTGTTGGAACTGTGAAGGGAGAATGCGCGCGGCGTTCAAGCAAGAACCACAAGTTGAAAAGGAGTCTGCTGGAAGCGTCCAGACGAATGTATGCGGTGTTGAGGGCGGGAGCCACATTTTGACGTCAACCCGCCGCGCATCCGTGTAATTGCTGGAAGTTTTTAAGACGGATGCCCGCAGAATTACGGAAAACCACGGGTTTCGAAAATGACCCGTAGTCCATCTTTCTACCTAGTTGTTGGAAATGTGGAAAGCGAATGTGCGCATCGCTAAGGCGAGAGACACGCTTTTTAGAACGACACCCACACACCCGCCCGTCCGTGCAATTGTTGGAAGTGTCAAGTTTCAGGGTCATACGGTCGGGGCGCTGGAGAAGGAACTCTTGTCGTTAGGGAGGGGTTCCGTGGTCCTTACTTGTTTCACAGTTTGCCTCGCGTTGTCCTGAGGTTTTCGATGGGAAATCGAAGTTCACCGTCTGGACAAAAGAGGCCTCGTTCCTTATTTAGGGTTCCTTAGGTCAGCGCCCCGACTGTAAGCGGAGAGTAAATCTCAGGCGAAATGCCCAGCCCGCCCTACCACCACTTCGGTTGGGGGCGCGTAGCGGGGGGGTAGTGAGGGCTGCAGAAAAGGGGGCCTTGAGGGCACCTAAAGTGGCCCTCCTAGGGCCCCAAAGGAGATCCTCAGGGCCAGCAAAAGGGCACCTCTCTTTCCCCGAAGGAATTCGCGCCCAAGTCTGGTGGTCAGACCAGGAAGAGCTCTTTACCAGGAAGAGGAGGAGGAGGGGGAAGGAGGACGGGGCAAAGTAGCAGGAGCATGGGCCGGGGGAGGAGAGGCGGCAGCAGCCCAAGGGAGGGAGGGCAGGAGGAAGTGCGGGCGCGGGAAGTGCAGAGCAAAGGAAGCAGGAGAGAGGAGGAGACGGGAGGGATGAGGGATGAAGAGCAGGGAGGGGAGAGGAGGAGGAGGAGAAGGGAGAGAGGAGGAGAAGGGAGGGAGGAAGCAAAGAGAGGGAGGGATGAAGAGCAGGGAGGAGAACGGGGAGCAGAGAGGAATGGGTGGGCGACGACAGAGAGGACGCGTAGGGTGTGCGCGCTTGTATGCGTCGCACGTCAGTCACAAGAGGTTTCGACGTGTTTCTCCATGGACGGGCTGCAGATCGCAAAACGTGGCGTTTCCAGTACATCTGATTTGTCGTTGCATACCCGCTCTTTCCCGACACCGACAGCACAGGGATAGTCCGCGCCCCTGGTTAGGGCGCTAAACGATTTGATTGCGTTGTCGGTTGCTATTTGTTCAGTAGTTTGACTCGACCTGTTCCCGGCAGTAAATTCAGGGAGGGAAACGTATCTATACCCCTACCCTGTCCAGTTTTCCCTTTTTGGGCCTCCTGGGCAGCCCTCGTCGCCTCCGCTGGATTCGCCTCGAAATCCGGGTCAGAATGGACCCCAGGAGAGGTCCAGAGAGTAGCGGTATCGGTACCTTTTGGTCTCCCCATCAATGCATATATCCCGCTGCAGTTCTCCCTAAATTGCCTTTGTTGATGTCTTGTCCGTATGTCTTCACACAAGGTCGTTGCCCTCCATCTTCTTCCACCGAAAATAAGCACAAACCGAAGCAGAGATTGCGTGGCCCATTTTGCCTCCCGACGAACCAGACCGGTATTCCGCGTGGTTCGGTCTACGATGAAGACGGTTATTCTGGAAGCCCCGATTGCTGCGTGCCAGCAACGATGACCACTGCATAATTCGGGAACGCATGACTCACATCAAAATGATGATTTGCCGCCGGATAGTGTTCAACAGTTGGATCCCTCGAGCGTCCGTAATGCATAGAGGGTCGTTGCGGAAAGGCTCTCAGTCGTACTTCTCTTCTCTTTCT